CCCAGCAGATTTGGTGACATTTTCAGCAGACCCATAATAAATTTATGAAAGAACCAAATTTTATGACTGTTTTTTGTGACAAACATGTATGTGTTCCAATCACTCTATCACAGAAAAATAAGAGTTGTAGAACTTATTGAAGACTCAAGACAGCCATAACACTATGATTTTTTACAAGTGTATGTACACTTTTGACCACAACTGTATATACTTTTCCTCTGCAGTTCCTCATCGCTGGATTCGTTTCATTTTTATGTATGTTCCTCCCAAGGGTCTCGTTGTTTTGGTTTCTAATTTGCTAGGGGTGTAAATCACACCCATCTTGGCTATTCCATTCAGTATTAATTTCCTGACCCAACGATTCGATTATTTTCGATACTCAAGAATACATCATCTTCTCTCCTCTGCCACTTCTGTCTTGCCTACCTCTTCTTTCACCTCTGCTACCTCCGCCATGTCTTTCTTGCTTACTGTTTTCACGAGTGTGTGTGCAAATGGAAAGAGGGTAGTGGCTAAAGGAAGCGAGGTAGGAGGGCAAAATCTGTTTAGCGCCACCGCAGCACGGGAGTCAGAATTACGTCAGGGAGCAAATGGATAAAAATAGGCCGAAGGAAAAAAAAAACATGAATCGATACTGTTGCGGTCGTGTCAATGCAACGGATCGTCAGCTGTTGGATCGATGCATCGATACAAAACAATTATTATTTACACCCCTATAATTTACCTGCCTGTTTAGCATGGATTTACGCTTCTGTTGCCCTCAACTTCATCGTAAAACCTACATCTCTGCTCTTGTCTCTGCATTTGGGTCCTCTACAAACATCCACCAAAACTGACCCTATGGATGTGCTCGATTTTAGAGGCTGCATCCTCCACAGACCCGGTCTACCTGGACTGGGTCCTTTGAGGTTTATGAAAAGACTTTTTGCCATGGATTCAAACAGGTCTAGCCTTCTTGGGCTTTCACCACCCATACACTCTGTTGCCTTGCAACCATGAAAGTTGTCACACAAAGCAGGCAAAGAATGGATACCAAACATCCCACTACTGTCCTGGGCGCTAATAACATTTTAGCTTCAGCAGCAATACCATCATGGTGAATATCAGATTTTTAGTCCCCTCACTGCAGAGACATTGGAATATGTGCTTAAATGTCAGCAAAACCCATTTGCACAGGAAGAGATAAAACCTTTCAATGAACCAAAAATTCCTCGCCACATATTTGACTCTATAACCATTTAAAACCACTATTTTCATTCATTTCAAATGGAAATATTCACTTACTTGTATTATATTAAACTGCACCTACAATATTCATCACTGTTTTGCGCCATTTACCTTTTTCTCTGATCACAAAGCAGTCGGCTTGCTTGGTCTCGCAGTGAATAATGGGATACCTAATGCTATGTAGGCTACACCGGACCGTCCTTCAAACGGGCAAAAAGTAGGCTGCATTTGTTGGCTACATAACAGGGAGTCTTCCAATCCGAACAGGCCTTGGCGCAGTAAACGGCCAACAAATCTGTCCTTCCGAGGACACTGCCGCTGGATTCAAACTTAGCATGTGAATGTTTTTACATTACTTAAACTGAAGGGCCAATAGGAATGGGTAATACAGTTAACAATAAACAAACTAAAATTCAACCTAAAACTATTTCTTTCAAGTGTTTCTTGACACATCAATTATCAAAATACTTCATATCACTTACTACAAAGCCACCCGCTCTTTTGGAAGGCACTTCTCGTGGGAATGGAGGAGTTGTTTTCCATTACAAGCTCTCAGCGGAAACAAAGTTTACCCAGACATGCATATGAAAAACAAAAAAAGTAGGGAGTCTGATAAAAGCGACATGAATGTGTGTGTGGAAGCAGGCACAGAATGAGCCAGCTGAAAGCATTTATTATGTCAGTTTGTGGCGATCAGCTTGAAATCCTCATTTTCGCAAACATTTTTCAAAAACCCCTTGCTGATAACAAAAGACAAGAGCAATTTCATTTTCACCGCGCAGGGACGCCCCAGCAATTCCACAAGGCTGGTTTTTAGATGAGAGGCTCCGAGTCATCTAATTTAACTGTCGTTTTACAGCACATGTTTTGCATGCTGCTTTTTATTCCCCTCCACTCCCCCCACCATCACTGTTTCAACAGATCCATCTGCAGGCTCTCTAGTTATTCATGGCGCAGCTGAAGTCATTAGGAGTTCTGCTGAAAACGCTGATTATGAATTAGTTACACATATACTAATTGCGTGTGCATTAGCGGCTCAGCACTCACTAGCTAAAAGCAACGTTTAGCTCAGTCTACAAAACAAACTTCTTCCTCTTGCTTTGGTAACGAGCTAACAAGATGTTCTCTGTTGTTTTTTTTTCTTCTCTTTTTTCGGCTGCAGGTGCTTCTCCCGGTCGGATCACTTGGCGCTGCATATGAAGAGGCACATCTGAGGAGCCTAAGAGGTCAAAGGGAGTGGAAGGACTGGGAAGTGAACGAAAGAGATGGGGCTAATGACAGCTAAAAAAGAACAAAACGAAGATGGAGAGAGATGGATGATTGACACCAACACACCAAATTGAATCAGAGGGGGGATAAAGGGGGTAGGGCATCTGACCATATGCAGAATCCAACTTATCCACAGTGGCTTTTGTCATTCCAACCCCAAACCTTTTGGTCCAAACATACAGAATAATTTAACGCCATTTGGAAAACCATTTAATTCCTAGAAGATACAGCTCCCACTCTTTTTATGTGTCTTCTAGGGGAAGTTGGATGAATTGTGCTTATCATTGGCAGCTTTTTTGTCATGTCATGACATGTCCCTCATTGACAACCTTCCAAAACAGCTTTGTTCCGCAAGGCATTTGTACAGTCACGCTTTTTCAACATTTCTACTCTTCAGAAAAAAAATCTACGGATTTAGAGATGACCTAATTTCCAACAAAACCTGCCTTTATTTTGTCAAACCTGCCTCACCCTTTTGAATCACCTTTAGGTTTATCATCTGACCAAGTGGGCAAATTCCAAATGGATGCATTCGCAAATCTTTCTGCTCTGATAGCATTGAAGCATTGGCCTCAGTTTCTTTGGAGTCCCCAAAGACTTGACTTGTAAGCAGGATGGTGTTGCACCAATGAACGGTCCCGTTGTTGCACTGACTTTACCCCCAAGATCAACATCTACTGAAAGGAACGTATCTACTCTGGGAATGTCAGATGAAACTGAGCATCTCGAGAGATGTAGGCAGCTTTATAGGAGTGTTTCCTTCTCAAGATCTTATCGATTGTTGTCAAAAATGGTTGCACAATTGACTTTCAAATTTTTTGTAAAAAAAAAAATCAAAATAAAATGTTCCAGCGTTGAAATGAAACGCTCCCTTTTCATGTGCCACCTGAGCACAAGTTTAAGCAGCTTGCCCACTGCTATAGCACACCGAACACAAACAAGATCACCGTGTATTTAAAGGTTATATTGTTTCTAAGAAGATCCTGTTACTTGTTCGAAAAGAGACAATTTTGAATAGACACCTTGCGAAGAACTCACAGGAAATTGATGCAGCTAAAAAAAAGGAAAGAAAAGACGAATGCCTGAAATGATCTCTTTGGGCTTTGAGAGTGATTGGCACCAAACTAATCGCTGGACTGAGACAGTACTGCACAAAGCACACATTCCTGCAGAATTCTTCCAATTAAGCATCTCTCTGACTTGACTTCGAGTAACAAAAAAAAAGCATTGGACAGCTCTTTGAATCTGGACACATGTATAGCAAGAACATTTCTGCTGACTTCCTGACCAGCATGTATGTCAGAATTCTGATATTTTCCCCTACTAGACGGACTCTTAGGAAGGCACATTCAATCAATCAATTGAGTCCTGTCAGAGAAAAATCAATGTGAATGTATTTGTTACAATCCTGTCCATTTAACTAAACCCATGAAAACACTGGGGAATGGTGGGTAAGACCATATTACCATTTTTTCTTTTTCTTTTTCACAGTAGGGAAGAATAACTGGACTTGAGTAAAAAAAATGGCTGGTCACAGCTAGTAGCTTTTGATATTTTACTGGCTTTCTTGGACTAGCATGAGTGCTGATTTCCAGTGGGTGGCTCAAATGGGTTAGAAAAAGGTGGTTATGCTCAGTCAGCAATGATAACTGCCCCATCAGCTTATGTAACTGCAGCACAATGAAAGCCACATGCACAAGGGTACAAACATTCAATCCAGATAAAAATGGAATTTGCATTTATCTTGTGTAACCAGACCTACGTCATGATGACCAGAAACTACTCATCGATGTCTTAATTTCACAGATTGCATTTGAGATGAACAGCAAATTGCACACAAGCAGCTTGGGTATCAATTTGTCAGCAACTATTTTGCTACTTATCCCCAGAGTAAAATGTCTTCTTATGAGTTTTAAAGCTTCAGATTTAGGACTTGGTGCAGTACAGCTAGAATTTGGCTAAGGCTACATCTACATGAAGCTGGAGACATGATCTGCACAGCAAAGAATGGATTTAAAGATGGAACAAAAAACAATTAATAGATGTTATAATAAATATGCCAGTTTGCAGATTGTAACCTTAAAATAAAGTAAAAAAGAGCAAGGCAAAATAAAAAAAAACAATTCAACCAATTAGCCTTAGAGCTAACTTGAACATATTCCAGAGCTTTTAATTTAGCTAGGATCAAATCAGGGATAGTCGCGAGAGCCTGACCTAAAAATTGCTGGAATGATGTCATCACCTAATTTCCATATTTGGTTAATGCTTTGATCCAGTCATAGGAGAGAGAAAAAAAATCGGCAACACAGAAAATTATTAAAAACACTCTTAATACATTTAAAACGAAAACATTTGACTCTATAAAATAATAAAATATTCTACCTGAACCAAAACTATGGATGTCAATCTTTTTATGCTATGATATTAATTTAATAGGAGACACAATGAAGGAGGCTGTATATGAATTAAATGCTGATAGGGATCTATTTAAGTGCAATCATTTCAAAGGCATATTACATTAAATATGTTTAGAACAAGCTTGAGGGGGATCAAAGCAAGCTTTGTGCATTTGTGACTGATTTTCAATAGGAAAACAGCGGGAAGTAGGTCTCGTTTCATGTCAGTGCTTTGGAGAAGGGAGGGTCTCACAGCAGCTCTCACTGCCTGCTGAAGACAGTCAACTCAGAGCGATTGGTGCTTTTATTTTGTCGCTTCAGTCTTCAACAAAACAGCAACAAGTCCCTAGGTTTGTGGCCAGCCAAAACAAATAGTAGAAGTGTCTGAAAAGTCGCCAAGTTTAAAGACTCTGTCTTCAAAGCTACTTAGCAAGCTAGGTATTATAATGTATGCAATTGCCCTGACTAATTAGCATGCTTAAAGTAACAGCGACATTGTGATATCAATGATGGTTAACCATACATTTACTTTTATCTACAGTTCATTATTACCTTTTCATAAAGCTAGCATGCTAATAAATACCCACAGCTAATATGCATGAGAACTGTTTCTGGCCTAATGTCTGCAGGTTAATAGGTCACAGTAGTATCAGCAACCTAAGATACAGTTCATTAGCTCTGTTGAAGATTCTCAGTCATCCAGGTCATAGCCATTCCTAAAAAGTTAAAAAAAACAATCCACTGGACTTGGTTTCCAAGTTTGAAGACGTTTCGCTTTACATCAAGGCAGCTTTGTCAATTCACAGAGGCATGGCTAAACCAAGAAGAGCTACCTCCTCCAACAAGACTCTGCTGTGCACCTGCAGCTTAAGGACATGGGACACTCATTTGAGGACCAGAATGTTCACATTTTGGACAAAGAAGACAGGTGCTTTAAAAGGGGTGTGAAGGAAGCCATTTATCTTAAGACCTTAAGATCTTAAGACCAACCTTAAACAGAGAAGGTAGACTCACGTTTCAGCTCTCAAAAAAACTACAATGCAGCGATAGAGTTGATTCCTTCCCGCTATCATATCAACCACCCCATCCCCATGCAGGGGACAAAACAACTCGCCTGGACAGTCAAGCCAACAATTGCCCCTAACAACCCCCCTTTCCGAGGCATAAACCAGTATATGGTATTGCTGGCTAAAAATAACCCAAAAGGACTCCCCATTCCTAAGGGGCGGACATGTTCTTCTGTTTCAGTTTGCATGCTTTATAAGCCAAAACAAGTTTTTGGGCTTCTATATAAAGCTTCGAACTGAACACTAATTCATTTTGAATTGAGAAAGCTTCCTGGATGGGAAGTGAAACATTCAACCTTGGAAACCAAGTCCAGTGGATTATTTATAACTTTTTTGGAAAGTTTACTAGTGTCTTATAAGAAAAGCCATTATGCTGTTGACCACTGATAATTATTGATCTGCACTATTATATATTGGTACCAACGTCACCAACAACAGCAAAAAGTTCCTAGATTTGTCGCTAGTTGCTTTTTTTGGAAGGAAAATTGCAAGACGGGTCCAAAAAGTTGCTAAATATAGCCACAAAGTAGCTAAATTTTCATCAGTTGGTAGCCATAAGGTTATCCCAATGTTCAAAGTTTATCAAAAAGCTCAGTATTGTTATCTTCAAAATGCCGCGACTAACTGGCATCCTTAAAGTAACAGTAAATACGTAATTTTCATGATAGCTAACTTTAATTTTACCATTAGCCAAAGTGGATTATTACGTTATTAATAAAGCTAGCATGCTAATTACTCGCAGCTCAGGAGCATGACAGTTGTTACCAGCCTGTGTTTGCAGGTTAGTAGTAAACAAGAGTAGTATTAGCATACTAATATACAGTTCATTTTTGTTTTAACAGGAAAGCTAGCATGCTATTGACCACATGTAATTGGCGATCAGTGATTTCACGTTGTCAAATTCTCCAACAACACGATTTTAAAGTCACTATTTTTGCCATTAGTCTCTTTTTTTAATAGAAACGTTGCTAAAGCAATCACTAGCTAAGTACGGCATAACTTAATTTCCACAACCATAAAACTGAAAACATTTTACTCTGGAGATTCAGATTACCACAAAAGAGATCTTTATTTTTCTAAATAATTTAAATTTTAAAGGCCATCTGAGCTGCATTTTCTTGATCACATGTGCAAAACGATGACTAATCAAATAAAGCAAAAGTAAAAATGACAAAATTTGGTCGAAAAAACATTTGCTGTTGTGTAGTTTTCTCTGACTGCACATGAAATAGGTAACAAGGAACAGCAGTTTCTCCTTTTTTAAGGCGACTGCTTACTATTGATGGCAGCTCTATGTGTGTGTTTCAGTATTTAAGTTCGATACTGTTCTGTTGAATGAATCTGTGTGTTTTATGTAAGCTGGAGACTGTTCTACATCAATTGAAATCATTTGAGTGTTTTGGAATTTAATGGGTATATTTCGGTTGACTTACCCTTAAACTTTTCTAAATTAGCCAATCTTAAATGATAATCAGCCTCCTCTTGGAGTGCTGACAAACAAAATTATTCTCCAAGTGTTTGGAAAACTGGAACCTTGAAATGTGAATGTGTTTTCTGCATAAAAATAAAGAAAAAAAAATGTTTTTATGCTGTCTCTGAGGATGCGGTTACGTTCAGTGTCACCTTAATGAATGATTCAGTTCTCCCGTGCCTGTGTGTTATTCGTCTCTTTGTGTTTTGCACTCGTTTTTTTTTTTCTTTTGAGAAAAAAAAATCTAACTACATATCTGATGTTTTTTTTTTTTACATGTCCTACGATCTTACAACTATCCTCTCTATGATGATCACTAAGTCTGTACAGTAGCTTTTTTTTTTTTGCACAATTTCGACACACCGACGCAGATATTCTGCAACACTTCACAGATACATATAGAGGCACATTCTGCTCGTTTCTTGTTTGTTTTTTTGTTTTTTTGAGCCTGTTTTCCTTTTCATGTGAGGCTGCAGCTCTAGCTCTTTTAGAAAAATATGCTAGGGTTACATGCATTACTATGTGTGACACCACCTCCGTTTCCACAAGGTCTGAATTTTAAATCAAACGCACCTCCCCTTTTTCTACCAGCATACTCTCATCACTTTCCCTTCTCTTCCTTTTTTTTCCCAATACGAACCCTTTCTCCCTTGCTATTGTCCTTCTGTTTTTGTTTCTCTGTACAAAGTGTTTCAAATTTATCATTTGTATATTATGACGTATGGGTACGATAATGTTCTTTATTATGGAAAAATGAGAAAGATTTATTTTTGTTACTGGTTTGTTTCATAATTCCTTTTTTAAATTGGTATTGTAATATCTCTATGCAAGGAAACTGTTCGGTGAATCGTTTTTATTTAAGAATGTAATTATGTGTAATAAATGGTAGAAGCAGTTTGGCACAGAGTTATTCATGTTTTTTTTTCAGCCGGCCTGTCCCCTTCCAGCAACAATACCCACCTAATCACCCATCTCCATGCTGGATATTTCCTCCGATTTCTTATCGAGTCTCAATCACAGAGTCATTCAGTGTAATAACAAAGGGCGACCAAAGTGACGGGGGTTTTCTCAATGACCAGCAAAATTCTTTTTTTTTTAAGAGGTATTGCCACAGGTTTTCCGTGCTAAATATGAAAACCGACAAGTCTAAGGACGACAGGGACATTTAAAGTACGCCCTCCTGCTTCTGCTTAGCCCAGGAGAAATGTAAAGACCTGCTGAATTATCTCTCTTTTCGATCAAACGCAGGAAATAAGCCAGAATACCTTCAGTTTGCCTCGGTGCACACTCCATTCTCCGAGGGAGCTACAGCGTTTTAATTACATCTGTTACCAACCAAGGTGATGACTTATCCGCTATTCCTGCCTTTTGACCATGACTAACTGATAAAAAAGGGTAATCGAATAACTAATGGCTAATTAGGAAGTAATTACTCCCTGGTAAATGGCCCTATACAGTGTATTAATTCTCCTCGGGTCTGGCAGGGAGAAACTCCCATAAGGTTTTTTGTTTCATTTAATGCTCCCTAATTGAAATAGGCACCCTCATCAAGAAGCTTACATGTATCTGTCGAACTTAATGTACTTTTATGTGTAATTACTGAAAGGCTGCATATTATCTAGCTCACTACAACATCCGTGTCAGGCCCATTATAAAATAAGGAGCGACAGGGCCATTTTTCAGTAAAGGTCGTGCATCCTGTGACCGTTCTGAGAGCATCGTTCTTTTCCGGTGTGATGAAAACGAGCAATTAGATTTCACAGAGGAGCTAAATAGTTTGATGTGACGTTTAAGAGTATTTATGCGAAATGGATCTGGGAAGAAAATGGTTACCTGGAACAGTTTTTTTATTCTCTTTTTTTTTAATCTGATTTCTGCATCACTAATAGGGAAATACAGTGGCTGAGGGGTGCAAGCATTTGTTTCATTTTAAATAGATTTCCACACTGTCCATACATAAATTAGTACAAACAGTAGTGCCTGGTAAAAATATTTGAATCTGGCTGTATATTTTGGATATTATTACATTAAAAATAATTTTTTTTAATATAATTGATAAAATAATTTTATATTTCAATAAACTTAGGATAATTCTTAGTGTTATGCTTTGTAGATGATGCCACTAAAAAGAAAATATACATAAGGAGCTATTTTATCAGTCAGACAGTATTATACTGTAGGATGAAATAAATAATATATAATATTAAAAACATACTTGTATAATAGTAACATTATATGATTAAAGGAAACACAGATATCAAGTAATACTGATGCAGGCAGCTTGAAGGTGAAGCAGCTGGACCTTCAGTGCTTCAGGTGATGTTTAAATGATTTTTATTACAAGTGAAGGAACATTTTTTTATTAATATACAATATAAATCTAAATTTCTATTTGATATTGCTAAATGTAGGGAACTGAAACACTTAGTGGTGATGTTGCAGAACAGGTAGAGAGAGAAGTGGCTTCAGCTGAGAGTTTAATTTAGTTCAGTATGAGTAACTGAATTTTCTCTCTCTTTTTTGATTTCACATGAATTTTTTATAGTTTGCTTGATTAACATGTTTGTTTGGTTGGCTGTTAACTGTTATCTCCACTTCAGATGTATTACGTAAGAAATGTGT